TGCATGTCCCAGCGGTTTTTGTTCTGTGGTGGGTATCCCCACGATTGGTTCCGCCAGTGTGAGGAGGACCATTGAGACTTGTTGGAATCCTTCCCGGAAGTGCGCCAGGAGGTGGAATCATGAGTAGTGTGAGTGGGTCGGTGCGAAGTCGTGGCTCTGGGTGCAGGGGAGTGTCGATGGTGGGACCTGTGTCGGGGGGAGCGGGAGCGGAGGGAGACAGTGGAGTGGTGTGCACGTCGGGAGTGGTGGAAGTGTCGGGAAGGGGAACGTGACCTGCTGTAGCTGCGGGATCGTCGGGTGTCGTGTCGTCGGTGCGACTTGTTGTGCCTGCGATGGTGGCTGGTGTGGGAGTGGGAGTGTCGGTGCTGTCTGTGGCGGGAACGGGATCTGCGAGAGTGGGGATGGTGCCGAGTGTCCGGGGGAGGGTGGTTGGTTGAGGAGGTAGCGGCAGGAGCCGCAGCGGCAGCTTCGGGCGCGCGCGCCGGCTGAGGCTCGGGCGGTGAAGATGGCATGCTGCTCTGAGTCATGAAAGGCATGATGGTGCCAGGTGCCAAGTTGCCGTAATTGGGAGGGCCACCGTAGGGCATCATGGCCATCGGGTTGCCAAAGTTCGAGAGGCCGCCGTAGGGCATCATGGGGAAAGGTGTGAAGGATGCCGTCTGCGAGTTGGGTGACGGTACAAGGTTCATGGGCTGCGTCATCTGGGATGACAGCTGCAAGTTCGGTCCACAATTGCCTGGTGAGCCGGACGCGGTGCCGGTCGCAATGCTATGCAGGAGCGAATGCATCATGTCATAGAGCTGGTGTCCAGCCATCTCGCAAGGGAGAGAGAAGGTTGGAAAGGGGTGAAAACAAAACCACAACTGCGGCAAAAATGCGTCAATGGTGCAAATGCATGCGAGCCAACTTCAACCTGCGAATCGAAACCAAACAGAGGGAATTCCACCAGGGGACCGCCAAAACCCCGCGGCAACGGCAAAAGTTTCCACAGAAATGCATGCGAGCACAAAGGGGTTCTCAGAGGTGCCTGTCAAGTGGCCTCATGAAAGTGCCTCATGTGGCTATGCCGATGAATCTGAACTGAACTCATCCGAGACGAAAGCTTCCATAAACGCCACGAATCGCAGAGTTGGTGTATGACCAACTCGTCACTGGCGCATGAAGCTTAGGAACCTGAAACCTCGTGGGTGCAGCCTTGCTTCAAAGGCAGGCAGTGCAGGCAGTGCAACGCGCATGAAACCAGCAGAGCACCATTTGGGTGCGGAATACCTTAAGACCTCAAGCTGCAGCCTTGATCGTGGTCAAACGCGCTGAACTGAACTGCAGCTTGAATTTGAACACTTGAACGGTCTTCCCCTCGCAGGGGGCTCCCGCATGTGGCGAGTCCAGCCCACAGCGCCATGTCGGACAGGCCGTGGGTAAACACACTTATCTCGAGAGGCTTCACTAGCCGAGATGAAAAACGCAGTCAGTAAAAATGCTTGAATGCAAACGCAAATCAACAGGTCACAACATCGACACCGAACAGGAAGCAACAGCGACAAACAGAAACCGCAAAAGGAATCAGGAAAGAGGGTCAGGAAATAGGCAGGTACGCCGGATTGATCAGATCCGGTATCCACCGAAATGCCGTAGCTTCATTGGACTGGATAGGCAAATCGGCTCCAGTCCCCCTGCAATGTGGAATTTCCGTCCGTGCTCCAGGACGCTTCACACACACACACACACACACACACACACACACACACACACACACACACACACACACACACACACACACACACACACACACACACACACACACACACACACACACACACACACACACACACACACACACACACACACACACACACACACACACACACACACACACACACACACACACACACACACACACACACACACACACACACACACACACACACACACACACACACACACACACACACACACACACACACACACACACACACACACACACACACACACACACACACACACACACACACACACACTCACACACACACACACACACACACACACACACACACACACACACACACACACACACACACACACACACACACACACACACACACACGCAAACACACGCACACACACACGCAAACACACGCAAACACACGCAAACACACGCAAACACAAGCAAACACCCACAAACACCCACAAACACCCACAAACACCCACAAACACCCACAAACACCCACAAACACCCACAAACACCCACACACACCCACAAACACCCACAAACACCCACAAACACCCACAAACACCCACAAACACCCACAAACACCCACAAACACCCACAAACACCCACAAACACCCACAAACACCCACAAACACCCACAAACACCCACAAACACCCACAAACACCCACAAACACCCACCCACCCACACGCAGGGGCAAACACCCGCGCGCGCGTGCCTTCGCGCCTGGTTCCCCCGTTTTCCCACACACACACACACCCACACACCCGCAAACACCCACCCACGAGCAAGTGGCTCATCTGGTTCCCCCATGTTCCCCTCAAACCCCGTCCTCGCCAGCAGCAAACTCGCGCTGGCCGCGCTGGACAGCTCAGTCACGTAGCTGAGAACTTGGAACCAGGGCTCTTCCATGGCGCTCGGCTCCACATCCACGTCGTTGACCAAAGTTACGAAGCCGACTTGTCCATGTATATCGTGCTCACAAATATATAAAACATATATATATATATATAGTTTTTACATATGTATATATATATATGTATGTCAAAATATGTAGATATATATATATATATGTATAGTATGCACTATACAACATGCATAGGCATGCAAGGTCTGGTCCTGTAGCCGAAATGTCAGGCGTTCGATCTTCTGCCTGGCAAGCGCGTCGGAAGGCTGTCAAGCCAGCCGAGGCGGCCAAGATGCGACACAGGCGGCCGCCTTTTTGGATCGACTTAGGGCAAAGAAATCCCCCCAGTCTTTCCCACGAAAGGGACAAATGGAACTACAAAAAGGGGTTCCAGGGGCCACCCCCCCCCAATTCCATTTTTAAGGGAGGTGGGGATGCAAAGAAAAATCCACAAATCCACGTTCTGGCGCTTTTTTTCTGGGGGACTATGTCTTCAATTCAGCCGCGCATTTTTTTGTTTTTCTCGCTGGGGCAGCGGCGGAAGACCTCCACCTCGCCTGTGAGCAGCTCCTCAAATGGCCTCAGCCCCCGATGTCCTTCCTTTCGCTGCATATATCCATGTGGCTGTGGGTCAAAATCCTGTACCCTCAGTGAACATCCCAATCCTCACTAAACTAGACTAAAATGGCTGGTGCACCTATCCCAAAATGGTACCATTGGTTTTGAACCATGGCCATGTAAAGAATTAAGAAGGCGGATATCCGCAGCTATTTATGGTTGAGATTGTCCGTTGCAAACCTTCTACCCCGGTTTTGAGCAAGTGGCTCACATGGGGTTTGGGATCCCATTTGGAAGGTGGCACAAGGCACACCAGAATCGTTCGACAACTGCCTACATGAAACCTGAAAACTCATCATCACTTTTAGAAGTTCCTAGAACCCTGCTTTGGGGTTCAAGAAGCGGCGGCGTAGTGTCATGGACAGTCGCCCCAAACGGAATGTCTATTGCCTCCAACAAGCTCCCCTAAACCAGTATGCTCTGGAATGGTAGACTCGGATGTCGCTGGTTGACGTTGCATCTGACTCCAAGGGACAACAAGCTCAAAATAACAAGCTGAAAACAGGGATCCTTACATTCACCTGATCATTGCAACTTGTAAATGCTGGTTTCCAACTTTATTTTGGTCTATTGCAACATGTTTCAAATGGTTGCAAAATGTGGCTGTGGGTCAAAACCAATGGGATCCCATTTTGGGGGATTGGTGAATTCCCCACCCATTTTAGTTGTCCATTTGGGGGTAGGTAGGTGGATTCACCACCCATTTTAGTTGAACCTATTTTAGTGGTCGGATTGAATCGGATGTTCACTGGGGGCCAACCGGGCTGATTTTGAACAGCCCATGGCCATGTATCTTTTCAGCTGCCTGTAATCTCAGTTTCCTCAGGCAAAGCACTCGAGTCTCTGGTTTCCGCTTCCTCACTGCTCAAAGTGGCTGCATGTCACTGCACGAAACTGGCCACTCGAGCCACATGGGCTTTCACTTTTTTTCCCAGCAAGGAAGCAAAAGGGCTCAAAATCGAGGTTTTGTATATTGCCTTGCTCACAGAAAAAGCGCCTAAAGGAAGTGTCGTCTGCCCTTCAACAGGACTAAGGGTGGGGTGCTCGCAGCTTTGGGAAGGCAGCCATTCAATTGATTGAGCGGACTCGTTGCAGTTACTCGTCTTTGAGACATTGACAAATACTGTTTAACCCAGCAGTATTGTCTTTGCAAGTCGCCAAACTGTTACCAACTTACCGGACTTTGCATTAATCAAAAAGGGCGAACATGACACAATAACTTGTTGCATACCTAAGCATGAACGTCATATCATCAATACCCCATCTTTGGACCCACACACTCACACACCATCGAAACCTGGCCGGGCTTAGAACCGTATGACGCGAGTGCACCTCGCCATCATCAGAAGCGAAGCAAACGGCATGGAAAAAACAAGTCCAGCCAAAGGCAATCAGTGAGTAATACAATCATCCCAACCATCATAAGCATCATAGTCAACATGACAAAGTAACACTACCCGCTCAAATGCTTCCTCAAACAACTGCAGCATATGTCCAAGCAGATTGAACTCAAGCCCTCTTACTTGCCAGCAACGCAGAACTTCGCAGCTTTTCGACAGTATAAGCCAATGCATTGGCACCACACCAATCCACAAAGCAATTGCAAACTGGAGAGGCGTGTCTCATAGACGTCCAAAAGAGACTTGTCATGACACCCTCAGAAGTGGCAACTTTTGCAGGTCCCAAAGCTCCGCGATGCTGGAGCATCTTCTATGCTAGGAGGCTTTTCAGAGACCTCGAAAAGGTGTTACCACTTCATGAGACAGGATTCCACATTCACCTTTCTTTTGATACCTGAGAAGTGAGGTTGATCTGCATGACCAGCGCCTTTGGACCCCAACTCGGAAAACTAAAAAAACAACACAAAGGAGGAGGACACAAAGCAAGCCCTACGTGCAAACCAACTCCGCGCCCGTTTCGAGGCCGTCGCGTGGCCACTGCGAAGCGCAGGCGCGAGGGCTTCGCCGGCGAGTTCGGGGACTCGACGGAGAAGTCGAAGCTGGGCGCGGCTTCCGCGGGTATTCTAGGGGTACCAACAGAACGTTCAGAAACCCATGATGCGATTCCCCAAGGTAAATGTCAAAGGTTTTATGGTTTCAACCATGGTTCTACGGGGTACCTTCCATTTCCATTCTTAACCCAGGGTTCCGGATCTTTCTAGAAAACCTCCGGAAACCCAGGGAAAACGGATCTGGGTTTTGGAAAGAACGATGGTTGGAAAGAATGGGGCATCAACCCCTAAAGGTATTGGATGTTTCAAAATGGGCTCCTCCATCATGGGTGTGCCTGTTTTAGAGGACCCCCAAGTAGTGTTGCTTTTGCTTTTTTGTTCAAGACAACAAAAAAAGGGGTAGCCTCAAAAAGACACAACCAAATGGGTTCCACCACATGTCTAGGATGTCTGTACCCAAATTCATCGTTCTTCACCATGAACACCATGCCCTATCTTGAGACCATCTTGTGGTTTCAGCTGGATGAATCCCGAAGCGGCAAATCAAAAACTTTGGTAGCCTGGTTTTTCGAAGCTACGGGGCTCCTCCCATGAGAACCAAAATGCAAGGCTAAAGGCAGGAAGTTGGAAGCACTTCTGGAAAAAAGGGGAGCAACAGGCACTCTTTCTCTGTAGTTCACGCACGCCTCTGTGCTCCAGACCCCCCCCCCCAGAGGAAGAACCAGTCTGTTTTTGATGATTAATTTTTGACAGGCAAACCTCTCCAACAAAAAGGTCTGCGTATTCAGCGCGAAACGGACGCAACGCACTCGGCGCACCCGTCAGGGCTTGTGCTTCCCATGCATTGCACGACGCAACGGAATGCGTTCACAGGTTTAAAGAGAAGCCTACAAAAACAGAGTGTGTCTGTGTGTGCGTCTGTGTCTCTGTGTCTGTCCGTCTGTCTCTCTGTCTGTCCGTCCGTCTGTCTGTCTCTGTCTGTCTGTGTCTGTCTGTGCGTCTGTCCGTCTCTCAGTCTGTCCGTCTGTCAGGGATTCCGTTCTTCACGCCCAGAAAAAGTTCCAAACTTCGTGTCTGCCACTAACATGGTCCAAACAAAAAGATTAAAGTCAATGAACTCAGGAAGTGAGTTGTTGTTGTTCCCTTCGGAGAAAATAAAAAAGGCATCCCCAGATCTTGCTGGCACTCACTAGCTAATGACCTTCAGGGTTTTGCCTATGATGAACCTAGCGCTTCCCTTACAGGAAACCACATCAGGGATTGCTGTTTCTCGGCATTTCAACTCATCCCCTGCCTATCGAGCCAACCCCGCCTGGAACTCAACTCCGCGCTGATGCCAGCGCTTCGTATAGCGCGCACCGCCGCCTGGCAGGGTCGCTGGAGCGCTTGTGACGTCTACGGGGTCCCATGGATGCGACAACGAAACCACCCATGATAAATGCTAATACTATTGTTACTAAGAGGAATATTATGTCTATTAACAGAGTATAAGTACAATGAATTATGTATATGAGTGAGTATAAGTTGTTTGTATCTCATAGCGCGAGGTATCATGCTGTCATGATAATCACAAGTATCATAAGGAGTCAAGGCGAATTTGGATACTGGCTCCGTGGCTTGCTAGCTGTTCACTTGACATGAAGCGATCACATGCCAGCACTTCAAATTAAACGAAATCAGAAAGGAGCCAAGAACGCACTCTATATATAATAGGAGAAGGCTGAGACGTAAGCGGCACTTTCTCGCAAGTTTCACACCGCGAATGCAACACATTACTCCACAATGAACAATGCTTGGCAATCAGCTGTGGGTTCGTCTCCAAAGGAGGAAGCCTCCGAACAATTGGTTGTCTTTGGTAAGGTATCCTCAAAAAACAAACCTCACCATATTTAGACGTGCTTCTCACATCAGCCACCTCTGATCTCCGTTTGCTTCCACGACTTGGCAACCCTTTTCCTTGGTTTGCAATCTTTGGTCAGTATATCTGGACATGATTGTGTCATTGTTTTCGGGACCCCTTAGAACTGTGGTTTTCCTTTTGTTTCCCCTCAAAACCACAAAGAGGGGCACCCTCGCAAAAGAAAAGACACAGCCACATTCCCTTGATATCCACAAGTTCAAGGAACAGCAACGGGTCTCCTCGTCCCGCCTCAGTGCTGGCATAGCTCTGGAGCATAAACCTTGAAATCGAGATGCCCGCACATTCAGTGGCGCTGACACACCTTTTCGCGTCCGCTTCTTCTATGAACGCAACATGGTGACCGTTTTAGGGGACCATGCTTTGAAAGCACGCATCTCACGCCAGGGTTGCAAAACGTCCCCCACAGTAGTCTAGGCTCACGTAGGTCCCCACTACAAACTACAAGGGGCGGACACATGGCCGGCAGGGCTGCCAGCAGCGCTTGGTTGTTTTTTGTTGTTCGATGGCCGGTCAATGTCCCGAAACTTGACATTTGGCATTCCACACCTATACCCAACCTCCAATAATTCAAGCACTCTGACTATCCATGGTCTTGTCATATATATATATATGTACACGTACACTCTTGTAAAGCATTGCACACCACATTTAACTTTATTGAATATATATATATATATATATGGGTTGATCAATATTCCTGGCCCCCAAGTCACCATGGGTAACTTTTCCCATTTAGTGGGAATGATCATCCTTTTTAGTGGTTCTCCAACCAATGGTCATCCCATGTAAAGGACCTTTTGATCAACCCCCCCACATATATATATATATATATGCATACAACTTCTAGGTCCTCCAGTAGAGCGGTTAGAACAAGGGCGCCCTTTTTTTTGTGTATTTTAGAAGGGGAACCCTCCCCCAAAAAAGAAACGGTAAAAGGGCGCTACTGGGGGACCTAGACTTGCATTTGGGTCGGACCCGAGGGGCGTGTGGGCGCAGGGCGGCAGCTTCTCCTGGCAGCGCAGGAAGCTGCCGCAGTCCAGCTGGAGCTCCTGGGCGGTCCATCGGCTCGAGTGGATTGGAACCAAGGCAACCAACCAGGTGGCTTGGGGTAGGTGGTGGGGTGGTTTGGGGTGGTTTGGGGTGGTTTGGGGTGGTTTGGGGTGGTTTGGGGTGGTTTGGGGTGGTTTCGGGTGGTTTCGGGTGGTTTGGAGGGTCGGGGGAGGTTTGGGGGTTGCCTCCAGAAGCTTGATTTTCGTCCCCTGCAGAAAAATATAAAGCAAAGACTTCAAACCCAGCCAACCCAGCCAACCAACCAACCAACCAACCAGCCAACCTACCAACCAGCCAACCCAGCCATTTGCCTTTTCGTTGAGAACATATGTCCAGCGGTGATAGATTCCCTTTCAAAACAGACAGGGGAAAATGAAATGAAACATATTCTTATGGAAGCATCCCTCACTTCCGACCGAGTGGATGGGCCCAAACAAGTCGAACCACTTGTTGTTTACCACGAAAATGGGGTTCCCAAAAATGACTCAAGTCCAGAAACTCACGAAGTGTTTGATCCAGTCACTGGATTTCCGAGACACTTTGGTGGATTCTTTAGGTGGGGATGTATGCCCACCACTTGTGAGCTGGTTCCCTATTGAAATTCATGGTCATATAGGTGTTTCTCAAACTAGTTGTCTAATGGGTGGCTTCCCATGATATTCACTTTGAGAAACACTCATATGGGTTTGTCTCAAACAGGGATCCTTACATTATGCACCTGAACATTGCCTTGTATGTAACATAGGCGATGTCCCTTTAGTTCGCTTTGCAGCCCCAAAAAGGGTACCATCAAAACAAAGAAACACCCATACATATATTAGCGGGAAACCAACTGGAGCCAGGGAAACAATGGATGGGGGAACAAATTGAAGTCTTGCAATGCCAGGCAACAGGCAAACAAGTTGGGTCGAGGAGCAAGTGAAAAAGTTTGTGCTGAATCTAACGCACTGGGCTCCAATACGAGCTGGCTCTTTGCCACTACAACAGGAGATCAAACGCGGAGCTGGAGCATGCCAAAGCAATTGCACTTCGAATTGCAAGAAGTGCGGTCCAGGCACCGGTCACCCTGTCCGGTGGATTTCTGAATGGCAAGCGATGGGAGAATAGGGGAAGGAATGCCCCTTTTTGGATGAAGGAAAGAACAGCATTTCCATTCTGTGTTTTTTGTCCGTTGAGCATTATTCCAGCTGCGGACCCTTCCTCGCACCGTCTGCAGGCCGACTTTACATTGCTTCCCACCACTTAGGCCGTGCAGAAAGCTCCTGTTGCATCTGGGGTGAGTAACAACCACTTTGCATATGGACCCCTCAGTTTGACCCTGCCCTTTCCCGGGAAACAAAAAACAAGTGCCAACTGTAGCTGTTGCTTGGGTATACGAACAGCGCCGAAACGGAACCACTTGACATTGAAAGGGGGCTGCCCTTTGCAAAGCTCCGAACCTGCAAAGCTCCGCTGTCCGTTTTTCATGATTAAACATAGGCCCAGTTGTAGCATGTGTATTCTATTGTTTGCTTCCCTTTGAGTCACGGGTAAAATGTAACTTGTATCCTACGTCTACCCCAGTTTTGGTGTTTCGAGGCCTGTCGGAAGCTCCAGACATGGTGTGATGATTGTGCAGTCTTTTGCCTCCAATCATCTTGCATTCCAGCGCAGTCATCTTGCACATTTCAAAGTTGCTGCCTTGAATCCTTCCGCGAAACCTTCCGCATGAAAACCGCGCACGTGGAGTGAACGCTTTCAAGCAAACACCTCCCCACTACGGTCACGCTAAATGCAAAGCACCGCGAGTCATTCAGGTATCTGCTTTTTGTTGGATCTTTCTTGGGGTGGTTCAAAGGACAAGGGGAAAGCCGCCCAAAGTGGGTGGATCTTCCGAATATTGACTTTCTGCTGGATCTTCTTTGGGTGGTTTCAAAGGACCCCAACAGCAAAATTGTGGGATCTTCCGGATCTTGGTTGGTTGCTCCGCGAGATTTTCCGGTCCTCCTCACACGCGGGCACCGCGATGGCCAACTCCCGGTACCTGAAGGACGGCCGGCGCTTGGGCGCTTGGGCGCTAACACACCTCAACTGTACCATGTTATGTTGACATCTTTTCAAGGTCCGCAAGGGACCATTGTTGGACAAATTCCAGGGTGTGTGTGTGTGTGTGTGTGTGTTTGTCCGCGTTGAGCTGTACATACATACATATATATATATATATATATACGCGTATTGGCAAGCAGTTGGTGAAGGGTCAGCCCCGCATTCCCCACGAACAAGAGTATCAAAGTATGAAACTCATTCCTTATGGGAAGCGACAAACACTCAGATCAAACAAGGGCCAACGGCGACACCAAAGAAAAAGGAACGTGTCTTGCATCTCTCTTTGCATCTGTGTCGCCGCATCACACCAGTGGAGATGAAGGCTGCAGATCGAGGGGGAAACATCGATCCACGTCGCAAGATGGACCCAAACCAACACTGACTGAGAAACGTCAGGTGTGAAGGCAAGCGTCTGCCTGAAGATGGGAGTGCTCCTACACAGAGCGTTAGCTAGAAGCTGTGGAAATGAAACAAAGCGCTGCGTGATATCCTACCGCACACCGAGGTGCCAGACAATATTGGATCTATTAATTCAACACAGTATGCCCCAAGGGCTACTCTTACATAAATCCTGCTCCTGGCCCTGATCTGAGAATCGGTGGAGCAACTACAAACTCTAGAGGTGATTTGGAGAGCCCTCACAAGAACCTCTTCTACTGAACATGGGCGAATCTTTTCTTCGGGTGCTCATCTTTGAGGTGGTTTGAACGAAAACGAGGAGACATGCTAAGCTCCTGTTCGAGTTGGTAGGTGGTTTATCAACCAGTATTCAAAATCGGGCTTTGTCCATCCCAAGTAGTGCGAAGTGGATTTGTGAACCATACTGAAAATCAAGACCTTTAGCTTTTCTGGGCTGCCCTCAGATCCCCTGCTAAAAGTTTAACTCTTAGTGGGTTAAATGGAAATTACCACTAAACCCTAAAAGCCTAAAAGGCTAAGGGGACGGCTGGGGGCCATCAAGTTTTGTGGTCTAACTCTAACGAACGCAGAGGGCCGCACCAATTTGCACCTATGTCCCACCATGTAATTTTTGTTGGAAAGTGTTTGAGTTGGAAACTTTAAGAAAATTTTGAAGAATTTTCTTTGTTTTTATTTTTAGTTGAAGGAATTTTCCTCAGCAAGTAATTTTGTTTTTATGTGAGAAAATTTGGAATAATATTTTGTTTTCGTGAGTTTGAGACTGTAAGTCTTCTTCATTATTTTTTGGAGCGTTTCACGTTCTGTTAATGGGGTGTCCGAAACTTATCACTTGCTTTGGTGGGCCTAAAGAAGTAACCAAACTGTTCGGACCAAAATGGTCCAAACCCGCAACTTGGGGAGTGAGCATTTCCATCATGGGGGGTGGGGGGAGCGAGGGGAGGGGGAGGGAGCCCCCTTTTTTGGGTCAAACACTGCCATCACTGCCATCTATAATCAAACTAACCTAAAAAGGACACCTATGTTCATGGGTCCTGGACTATCCCCCCGTGAGGACCATCCCGGCTATCAAACCGCGACATTGCGAATGAAACAGCTTTGATGGCTTGCAATGAAAGGACCCGAGGAAAACACATGCTAAACACAAGCTGAGTTCAAGAATCGATGCGCCCCCCCCCTATGCTTCCCCAATGGCAGGGAGACAACCAAGCCAAATCGATGCGACTAGCCTACTGGGCTGTATGGAGGTATACATTCAGCCTTTCAGCCTTTCAGACCAGATAACCCACGGATCTCGGGTCTAGGCCTCCCACGGCCCACAGGAGCTGTTGCGGAAGTCACCCACACCCACACCTCGAGCCAACCCGCAATCGCCAACGCCGAGATCATGGCTGCCAGCAGCTTGGCTTTGCGTTTGCGCTTACGCCTGGGTTTTCCTCAACCGCTCCGGTGACACAGCGATGAACCAGATGGATTGCTTGCAGCTGCCATCCACACTGGCAGGACCCGAACTGCGCAAAGCGTCATGCGAGCTTTATTTCCATGCCTTGGGGGCGCTCCACTTGGTTGACGTTGGAAGGGGAGCAAAAGTTTAGATTGCAGTTAAGTGGGGATTTCCACCACAAAACCACAATAAGCAAACATGTAAAATGTTTCCCAACAACAACCATGCCCAACCCCTGCTGTCCACATTGCCATGAACTTGACAGAGGAGTCCTGGAAGACCATTTTCCGCTAAACTTAAAACCCTTTGGGGTCCTTGTTGGTGGACAGGAGGCCTGGGGCTGTCAATTGGTACCCCAAATGGCAACAACAGGGCACTTTAGGTGGAAACAATGGACCTTCTGGAAGTGATTCACTGCCCAGAAGCACTGAGTCAATGTCTCGAACACAGCTCGCCTGGGCACCAGGCTCATCAAAGCTTGTGTAGGATCCTGGCACGGATGGAACTTGCACAGTCGGTACTTGACCCATGACTGTTCCAAGCATAGGTGTCTTTTGGACAGGGCTTTGTTGAAAGTAAGCATAGCCCTCTCTTCAGAAGTGATTGGAGTGCATAAGATTGCGCTATAGCGGAATGCTCCTAACCTCGTGTCAGCTCGCATGATTGTTGGAAGCCAAGAAGCAAGTGGCCACCATCTCTTTCCAGTGAAAACCGAACACCTTCGAGCCTGTTCTTCATGTGCACCGGAGATCGATTCATTTTTCTCGATTGCCACTGGAAACCAACTACAAACAGCTGAAATCTTTCTGAGGTGTGCATGGCTGCACAATAGTAGACCTTGAATCATGCTGCAGTTTGCAACTTTTTGTTCACACTGCTAAACACACTTTACAGTCTGTCCAAAAAGCAGTCGATATTTCCGGTCTGAAAAACAAACTTTTCATCACCCACACAAGGGATGTCCCTTTTCGGAACCGCTGAAAGCTGCTGGAAACCGGCTGGAAACTACTGGAAACCACTGGAAACAGGCGAACACCATTGGAAGCCACTGACAACTGCTGGACACCACAGAATAATCCGCGGAACACCACCGAGAAACCGGTTGAATTCTACTGGACACCACCGAAAACCGCTGGAGCAAAACATATCCGGACACCCACCCATTTTGGGCGACATCCCGACTCGACTCGACCCTGGCTTCCTTTTTCGCTTGCTCCCCCTCACTCTGGCCTGCAGGCGCAATACACGCCAAGGCCCCTCCCTTTGAAGCACCGCCTGGCCATGGGGACTGATGAAGGTGCGGGGGGGAACTTTCTGAAAAACTGGCCATGGGCGATGATCAAAATCCAAAGCCCAATCGTTAGCCCCTTTCGTGAACCTCCAATGAAAAATCCAAGCACGAAAAGATAGGTTTGCTAAAATGGGTGGTGAATTCACCGAAAACCCCCCCAAAATGTGATACCAAAACGGTTTTGACTCACAGCCAAATCACAGAGACTTATCTGATTGTGGCTGCTCCCCTGCAACTCCTGCAAAATGAACAAAAAGGCGGGGTGGGGGGAATCTCCCCAAACTATGATTACCCTCCCCCACACGATGCCATGGAAGCTCCAAAGGAACGGAGCCCCGAATTGGAAGACTTGGTTCCATTAGAGACCTTCTGGGAGCTTCCATGGCATCGTCCGAGGGAGCGTAGGCGCTCCTTTAGGTTTCCCCAGCCAAATCCCAAAGGGGTACTTAACGGGGCGATCGAGATCGAGAGCATTAGTTAGTAAGTCTGGTGAAAGAAGGCTTACTACTTCTCTTTCTATCCAGACTAACCTAAACAGGACACCTGTTTGGTTAGACATGGACGGCACTGGCTTATATGGGCTTTACCTGGGCCAATCTAGTTTTAAAAACAACTATGATGTTGCCCCTTGTGCTATTTGCCCCTTGGCGCATGGTACACATCGGGCTCGTCCACTGGGAAATTCTCAGTGGTTCCCATGTCCCGAACCCAAGGACCACGGCCATGTCGACCCAACCCGGCCAAAAATCACTGGGGGCCTAGCAACCAAAGGAGGACCCCGAAAACGTTTGGATGTCCGAAAAGACTGCTGAAGTCTTAAGGTATGTGGCTATGGCTCAAAAATGCGTACCCAAAATGGAACCCTGGCAAATGGAATTAAAAGACTAAAACCTGCGGTCCCCTGGTAATTAACATTTTGACCCGTACCCATGTAAGACTTGGGGGGGTTCATTCTGCTGTGAGGTGGTGTTTTGACCACGGCGAGAGTGTTTCAGACAGTTGTCAGATCGTAGGAACCCGATTGGGGCGATCCAAGATAAAACGGGGGCTGTCTGTTGTTGCGGGGGTATCGTCTTTCTCTCTTTCGGGAAACTAAAGAAGATGACTCCTTCCATTTGGTTAAGGCCCCAGGAAAAAAAAACATAACTCCAGTAATAAAAAAATGTTAAACCCAACAAGGAGAAAATTAACACATGAGTGTGGGTCAAAATGAAACCACCAAACAACCGCAGGTTTGAGTCCTGGGTTCCATTTACCAGGGTTTCATTTTAGGTACCCATTTTTGACCCACAGCCACATATTCATTTCAGCAAATGGAGGATTCCAAACTCCGTTTCTCTGGCGATCCTACACGATGACCCCCCAGAAGTCTCCCAAAGGGCCTCTAAGGCGTCCGCATCCGCCGTGCCGATGACCTGAACCTCGACGCAAATCGGAGTTTGGAAGCCAGGCGAATCGAGGGACGCCCCCACCACCGAACCACTTCTCACTGAAACTATGAAGGGAACACTTTCTTGATCCCCCACCTTTTTGTTGACCCAGCTCTGAGTCATGCCCTGAAAAGAACAGACTACTTTCCGGGAACAAAATGCAACGAGTAAAAGGAAAAAAACACCATATTGTCTGAAACAAGAACCTTCTTTTGAGCAGTTCGTTGTAAGGGGATCCGTGGACTGAACGTCTGAAAAGCCCTGTTCATTCCCTGAGAAACACCAACACAATTCGGGTTCCGGGGAGCGAGTTCCATGTTTGCCTTGAATTTACGCTGCATAGTTTTACCCATCAAACCGTCTAAACACCGGACCCTTAAACACCGGTCGGTTGCCTTTTGAAGGGCAAAATGGGGCCGAATTTACCCAAATGGCCCTCTGGTCTCAAAGCAAAAACAACAGGACACACCCAACTTCACAGAATCTGTGGAAGACCGGGCAGCTTTCAGTCATCACCCGGCTCTGAAGCAAGCAGGCATAATTGGCAAACATGCGGCGGTGCAAGCCGTGTTGCAATGCTTCACAAGTCCAAACAAAAAATCACCGTCAACCTGGCTGTGGGGTCCATTCAGTCCATGAGAGCCTATCAGGTGCCTGAAAGAGAACCCCTGGGGCCCGTGCAGATTCCGCTTCGTACACAGCATGCTGCGCTGTGTCTACGACCTGTGCTCTTGCAAGGCGAACTGCAGATTGCCGGTTTGGTCTCAACTGGCCTATTGGACTTTTTGGCCGGGGGGTCCGTTGAAATGGCGAATGACAATGGCAAATGATTAGCGATTGAATCCCAACAAGATCCAGCGCCAGTCATGTTCAACCCACCCAAAGGACGCCTATGGGAAGAGATCCTTGCGCATCTGACACAGCCCGTCCGGGAAGTCTGCGTGTTCCAAACCTGGTGCGGAAGATGCTTCTGACACCTCTGCGGACCCAGCAGGCGCATCAATCACAAGATCTGGTCGTGCCTGCACAAAGCCTCTCCGGAACTTGGCACATGTGTGCTCCTTGACTCGTTGAATCACTTTCTGGACTGATCTGGGTGAGTCGTATCCTTCCCACACCTGCACATGGATCTAATGCGCAACAAAACCTGGGCAAGCTTGCAAACAGAATCCCTTTGTCAGGTCGCTACTTGCTTTGAGGTGCAATTCGAAAGAAATAGATGACGATGCTATATCTCACTTGCCCAAAGGACCCAGAAATACAAGGTTAACCTTTTGGGTTCATGACTAAAACTAGACCAAAAAGGAGAAACCGAAAGGTCAAAAGGTCGGCTTTGAACAACTGAGATATAACCAAAGCCGACTGAAACCAGTGGAACCCACCAACCAAACTGACCCAGGACACCCAGGACAATTCGCGGTGCAATTCGCGGTTGAGCCAGGGATCGCGCTGGAAAGATCTGGAAGAACTCCGCATTTGCCTGGCCAGGTAGCAGCTTCTGCTGAAAGCCACTTGAGTCAGAATCAAAACATGGTACCAAAATGGTGAACCCAGAACCACACTTCAAAATCAAGAAGGCGGCCGCAGCTATTTATGGCTGGGATTCGCCCATGCTAACCTTCATCTGCCCGGGTTTTGATCTTAAGCTTTTATATTTTTTGGACCCTGACCTGCAAGCGGTCGCTGGAAGATCGGTTGGTTGAAACCAACTGTCCTTCCCCTGAGGCACCAAGGGTTTCGTCGATCCGGACTTAAATTGGAAACCATCCCCTATGGTCCCTTTCAGGGCCAACACCCTGAATCATTCCCTACTGAGCACCAGCAAGTTGTTAGGCCCAAAAAGCAAACCACAGGGCAAGTCGTGCAGATTCCCTTTCTCCACTGATCGACTGCCCATTCTTTTGTTTCAGGATGTTCATTCGGGAGATGTTCCCAGGCAGCTTCCCGCTTTCAGCGCTTTCTATTAGATGATCTTGGAATGAGAGGATCAGCATTGGGTTGGTTCAGGAGTGGTGCGGAGTGGGTTTGGTTTGGTTTGATGCGGGAATTCGGAGGGGTGAGGGTCGGGTTTGTTTTTAGGGGGACGTACCTGAGTCGATGCTTGATTTGGATCCAAGACCTGCCTTGGGTTGATGAATTCACAGCATGCTTCGGAAGGGTTTGGGATGGGATGCGGGCGGATAGGGCTTGGCTCACGGGAAACATATTTTTGAGTGCTGCTCTCTCTCGAGCTTCAGCTCATGGGTGGTTCAGTGTGGGGGTAGTGAAGATTCTGGGTGAACGATCAGATTTCACCAGCCTGAAAGAAGGTTCGGGGGCTATTCTCCACATAAGCCACAAAATTTGGGGTGAATTCGGTCGTGTGAGGTCGTTATAATTTACCCAGAAGATTGGGGCTAGCAATGGGTCCAGGGCCTGGCACCGGGTAGGTTTTGGTACCTGGAGGCTGAGTTTCGGACTTGTTTGGAGCTTGCCTGCCTGCCTGCATGCCTGCCTCTCGGTAGGTGTCGTGCTCGCTGTCTGGCAGTTGAAACAAATATCCAACGCAGGGCAGAAAAGTGAACATAGCACCAATTTTAAGGAAACCAACCACAACATTCTCACGTTTTTCGGGACGGGCAAAACAACCCCTGTCTATCAACCAGGTTGACTCAACCGAACAACATGAATGCGCTTTGAAAGGGGGTGGCTCAACCTGAACCAAGCGATCCTGTCGCCTATGGCAAAACAGCAGATGTTGAGGGCACGACGCAATCCCAAATGCTACTGCGACTGGGTGCCGCACAGTGCGAACCTGTTGCAGCAAGCACAGCACAAGGCCCATGCTGAGAATGGGCCGGCGGTCATGCGGGCGTGGCTTCCTTTGAAGAAGCACACCTAGTCAGCACTTTAAGGGGAGATCAAACTAAACCAACTGTTAAAACTTGTAAATTGGGGACAAATGCATGTCTCGGAGAGGCTTCTTGCGAGCATAAAAGCATCTTATGTTCAATATACAGTTGTGTCGTTTTTGGAGACCGAAATGGTGGTCTTCTTTTCGGCTTCCCTCGCAAAACCAACCAAAAAGGGGTACCCCTCAAAAAAAAGGACACTCACGGGCATCTCTTTGGTACGCACAGCCCATGGTCTGAACTTTGTTTGGCGCCCCTCAGGCTGGATTTGTGTCCACCAACCCGCCAACAAAAAGTATACAAACTCTGGGCTGTCCTCACATTCCCCGCTAGAAGTTTAACCTTTGGGTCAATTTTGGAAACTACCACTAAAAAAATGAAACAAGCTAAGCTAAGGAACAGGATGGCTGGAGCCAACAAGAACTCTATTACAACAACTTCCATGGTCAAACCGAAAAGTCAACTTGGAGTCCAAGAACTGCTTGCGCATTTGCCACGCCATTCCATTCCTGAAAGAAAGAAGAAAGCAAAAACAGAAACAACAGTTTTGTTTCTGTTTTTTTACACACACACACCAAAAAAAACACATCCCTGGCGCATGTAGCACTGGAGTCCCATTCCGAAATATCCGAGCCGAGCGCTGCGCAGACATGGCAAGTCTTTGGCGGTTGGCCCTCCAATCATAGGTAAAACGGGGGGTGTCTGTTGTTGGGGGGGTATCGTCTTTCTCTTTTTCGGGAACCTAAAGAAAACGATTCCAAACATAGGTGTCCTTTTAGGGGAAATAGATGGGGTTTCCTGGTAGATGATTCAACCACCAGGTAAACCAGGAATCGCCCTTTTTATTTCTAGCGAACCAACCAAAAAGGAGACCTATGCCTCCATAGACCTGGGTGCTGGCAAAACAGTGTTCGCACAATAGTGGGCGTGTCTTTCTGTAGGAACCCAATTTTTGGGACACCAAGAGGAAAAGCAGCTAATTGTGGGGAACCCCAAAAACGACACACCCAAGCCAAATAGTTGAACATTTGTTGTGGGCCCTATTCGGAACACAAGCGAGCTGTTTCAACCAAGAAGTTAAAGTCCAAAGAACCTTTACCAAATAGCCACACAGAGACGATCGGACTTTGCGGTTCCTTGTCTTGAGTTGGTACCCCTTTTTGTTGGTTGCAAAGGGAAACCAAAAGGAAAAACAATCATTTTGGTAGATAGGGTTTTAAACTACTTTCCTAGGGAACCTTAAACCCAATTTCATGGGTCGGAGGGTAGCATGGAACACAAAACGAGCACCTTTCTAAGGGGAAAGCGTTTTGGGACTGAACAAGGGGTTACAGGGTGATTTGCAAGGGCCGTAACTTGGCTTCATAACTTTCTGTTGGAAAACCCTGTTCTGAAAGTGCCTGAATGTGTCCGCAACGAGTTGGGTTAGGTTGGCATTCAGTGCCTGCAAACAGCAGCTCGCACATGGCTCGGCCAACTGTTCTTTTCAGCATGGCGCACTTGCACTGCTAGGTTGCACACTGTTGGCTGATCATATCGCAGCTTTCGCTGGATTGCAGACTCCGCAGTATCCTCCGTAGCCGAGGAACATGGCGGTTGGCCCCCTGCTTGACATTTCGATCCCGAACGGAGCCTTTTATGATTCATTGTCCCGATGCCAGAATGCATCCCATTAGCTTCCCCCAGGTCGAAATGTTGGCGGGCCATGCAAGGATATACACCGCCCACCAGTATGGAGGGCAGGCTGAAAACTTACGAAAATTCATCGAGCTCAAACAGTCAAAACCAATCAGCTGGTTTAGAGTCTTATTTGCAAACGTGAGCTGCTCAATTCGGATGGCCACCTGGAATCAGTGCAATATGTGTGAATTTCCCTGTACGCATCCAAGAACCAGCTGTTGCTTCCCGTGCACCTTTCTTTCTGTTCTCCTTCAAAGAAGAAGTCTCCTCACATTTGGGGCCAAAAAGTTGCAGCTCACATTGCTCTAGAAAAAAACACTCATGAGTTCGCAACTCGTTGCACTCGCAGCTGCTAGAGTTCGTGTTAGCGCTAAGACCACTGAGGATAAGCACTGTGGATCAACCCACAATTCTCAGTATCAAATCATTTTCACACAGCGCTCACAGGGACAAACCTACATCATATGGCTGTGGGTCAAAAATATGTACCCAAAGAACCCTGGTAAATGGAAACAAGGACTCAAACCTGCGGTCCAATTCCTGGTTTAATTGTCACCCATACTCATAGCTTCAATCATGCACAAACTCCTCGAGAGTCAACGCGCGCAACTCCGGCAGCGCTTGCAGATCGAGGGGCGCAGCAACTGTCACGCATGACACCACCGTGGGTCTGCTAGAGTCTGAGGTCAACAGAGTCTAGGTCCTCCAGAAGAGAGGTTAGAATAAGGGTACTCTTTTTCTTTAGTCTATTTTAGTTGGGGAACCCTCCCCAAAAAAAGGGTAAAAGGGCACTACTGGGGGACCTAGGAGTATGCGCAGCCGGCCCTTTCAAAAGGCTGGAGACATATCAAGGTTGATTTCATCAAGGCAATCCAAAGGACATTGCTTGCTGTTTTTTTTCCGGGACGCGGAGATCCCGAGACCCAGCCCTTTGCAAACCCAAGGTCATAGACATTCCTCGCGACCCCTGAGGTGCGCCCTTCCTGCCGGCCAGCTGTGATGGATGTCCATGCTTGACATGACAAGCATGCAGACTTCTTTCCTCTGTATTGAGAGCAAGGCTGGCAGCCGTGCTTCCTTCCAGTGCAAGGCTTTGGGAAGGAGGCAGAAAATGGATACGGGAGGCGCGTCGCAGCGCAAAAAATCCTAAGGTCAAGTCTGGCGGGCGCTTTCTTGCCTCTTGACCAACGCATTCATTCGACAATTACACTATCACTTGCATCCATTCGAGTGCGAAAGCTCCAGCCAGAAGTCACAAAGGAACCAACGACGGGATCTACAAACAGGGCGTCCTTTGATCACCGATCTCGCAAATCTTGTCTGATCCTGTCATTGATTTCTCAAGAGGTCGAGCAGGCAATGGCTGTCAAAGCATTCCATCCTTGGAGATTAGTCTCGCATGCAACGTCACTCATGCCTCAAACATAGTCACATGGAACCTTTCTCCACTTCAGGTTTCAACATTTCTCAGATTTGTATTTTTGCTACCATCACCAACAGAAAGTCTCAAAAAAGGACGGTTCCAGTGCGCTATCTCCAAGAGCTGACGAGCTGACGAGCTGACATCTGTCTGCCGAATCTCTGACCCAAACGGTCATTTCAAACAAAGGCGCCGAGGGTGGCAAACCAGCGTGCTTTTTGGTGCATACATGTCGGTTGAAGCGGGAATAACAATTAGTCCATGTTTGGCCGTTGGAATTCCACCTGCTTCACTTGATGAGCTTGGCGAGTCGCAACCCATGGCGTTCTTTTCTTCAGCAGCTCTGGCTTGCCCCGGTGCAGCCGTTGCGGAAAGAGATCGGGCACATTCGCCTGGGTCGGCCCAATGCCCAGTACGGGCGTGCAAAGGCAGACGAACTCCGGTGCACAATGCCTTGCACATGCGGAGTCCTGCCCACCTCACTATGGTCAAGGCAAGCCCGGCAGCAAGTGCCGCTGGGAGCATATTCTGCGGAGAGGCTGGGGCTAGGCGAGACTTCTTCCCCTGTGATGCATTTCGCGGATTCCGGATGAACTCCAATGGCCTACAACTCAGAAGGCGTTCTGTGCTCACTTCTTGACTTATGCAAGTGGCAATCAAGCGAATCACAAGAGCAGAACGCCACTCACGTGGGTGCCCACGTGGAAGTTTTCTGACTCATGCAGAGCTAATCTTAGTTGCCATCTACACCCAGATTCCTAGCGGCCATCAGAAAACAAAGGGCGCGCGAGGAACAATTTGTGATGACCCGTTCGAAGAATCTGAAAGACATTGACCAGGTTGGTTTCCGAGGGATGGTTCTCGCCTGCCGTGCCACTTGCGCACCAGTTCGGATCTAGCTGAGCCCAGCAACTCCTTGGCTCCTTGCGCGAAAAGGAAGATTCGTCACCGGTTCAATCAACACTTCCGTTTGGGATTGCACTGTCGAATTGCCAAGCTTTGAGACAATACATCCTGCCACTTGGCAGGATAAACAGGTTCTAGCGCGCGAGGTGGCACGCTACCATCATCTGGCTTCTGAGAATCCATTATTGGCAAATGGCTGGGGTGTTTCGGGCCTCCGACCCAACGTTGAGCATGCAAATGGCTTTGTGTCTTTTGATGGCACCGTCTTGCGTTTGTTTTCCAGGGGAACCACGAGGAAGCCTTGCATTTTGTTTCGGAGGGGGGGCACAGCACGGAACCAGGCAGCCCCATACTCCTCACGGGCCCTTACTTCACCTTCAGGGTCAGCCGCACGCCACAGTCCTGACGCTGGATTGGAGGGCAAAATGAGAGTTGGCAGAATCCAATATAATGCAATGCACACACACATATATATATATATATATTATACGTCTACATACACATATATATATATATATATATCGAGACATGAGCAGTACACAGTTGCTTCTGACATGTCTGTATTCAATTATTCAACCACTTCCAGAAGGTCCTGAGAGAACACCCGCTGATCCTACATCTGCCCTGCTTGGTGTGGCTACCGCAACGCTTGACGCTTCTAGACTGTGGGTGGATTGCACTTCTCGTCGCGCATGCTGCTTGCAGAAACTCGTCCACACAAGTTGAATGCCATCAGGTATCAAATGGCACGAACAGTTTACATCAAAGGCGTGGCATTGCTGCCCCAGCTTGTACCTCTCACATTTGCTTGGATGTGTATTTCTTTCTAACTCGACAGAACCAAAATGGCATCACATTGGTGGGTTCAAAGTAGAAGGCAAGCCCCCACGCAAAGAACCTTGCAACCAAGGGCAGCAGCAGCGGCTCTGTCTTTCTGCTTTTGAGACATCGCCGTTTGGTTTGCACATTGCCGTTTGGTTTGCACATTGCCGCAGGTTTCAACTTTTTTTCTGGGCGAGTAAAGCTCCACTTGGTGTGGAACTACCCGTATTTCAAGTTGTGATGTATGTACGTATGTAGGTATGTAGGTATGTATGTACGTATGTACGTATGTACAGATGTATATGGAGCTATGTATCTATGTATCTATGTGTTTATGCATCTATGTGTGTATGTGTGTATGTATGTGCGTATGTGTGTATGTATGTATGTAATGTACTGCAATGCACTGAAATGAAATGTAAACGTAAGTGTAAGTGTAAATGTATGTACGTAGCAATGTAATGCAATGTCATGTAATATAATGTAATACAATGTAACGTGATGTAATGTACTGTAATATAGTATGTGCTAATGTAATGGAATGTAATGTCATGTACTGTGATGCAATGCCTTGTATGTATGTATGTATGTATGTATGTATGTATGCATGCATACATGGATGCATGCAATGCAAACGTGATGAATATATATATATATATACACATGTATATCTGTCTGTGCTGAGTCGCTTTCCTATGCAGTCTCTTGTGCTTGTGAACGATGTGATCTTGAAAACAGCACGAACCACATTTACATGCATTCTTGTTCAGCAATGCAATCTCTGCATTTGCCTGACAGTCAACCGTCTGACGACCATTCTGACTCCCCTTCTGAGTCTGCCTTGATTTCGAAATTTCTGTCGACCTTTCGGGCGCAACCACATGCATATTGGTATGCTTCCCAATGTGCGATTGGTTGAGGCAGCAGGGCTGCGAATTTGTTATTGTCCCCAAAATAGCTTCACACCGGCAATCCGACGAAGATTTTGAGGAAACCATGCAGAGGCATGTCCTTGATGGAATGCTTCCCGATGCACATGCTGCCGTCGCCAGGACCGCAATCAAGCTGCAACAGCCAACATATTGTAGGTGGGACCGTTGTGATTCCTTTCAATGTGGAGCTCCACAGAAATCGCATTGAAGTGTTATCGACTAGGACATCAGGCAAGCACCAATATCCCCATCCGCCCCGCATTGATTTGGGGACACCAAAAACTGCCCAAAGTCATCATAGATGGCTATGTCCAAAAATAACGGCCCTCTTTGTGGTTGGGCCACAGGAAGTCAAGCTTGAAGTGTCCCCTACTTCGGGCCCCCCTCATCGCTTCGCGGTCTCCTCTATCTCACGGATCTCAGGGACTGCCTTGCAACCGCGTCAAGAATTGGGTGGGCGTTCTTTTGAGGGCATCCTTTTTGGATTGGTGTAAAGGGAAACCAAAAAGCCAAGCAACCATTTTGCTTGGGGTTTGAGACACACCCAATTCTCCAACCAAACTACCCTCCTTACCGCATGGAACCCACCAGAGGGGCGAATACTTTCTGAACTCCATGTTAGATGGCGTAGGGTTCTTTATTGACACTTGATATTTTTTAGTGGATCCAGCTTTCTCGGGGAAAACACCGGAGGGCAGACACCCACGTCTAGGTGGCTGGTGTACTCTATCCCAGGCGCCTTGGAAATCATGCAAAAAGAGGATTGGAGGGCGACCCGGTTTTTTGCCCGGAAGCATTGCGAAGGGTTCTTCTTCTAAAAGCGGCTGCAAACTTCACTTGCCAACTTTGCTTGCAACCTTTCCAGAGTTTGAAAGCATGCCAACTTCTCCCGCCAACTTGTCGAGAGTTAAAACACCTGCCAACTTCTTGTGCCAACTTTTCGAAAGCTATTTCACCTGCCAACTTCCCACGCCAACTTTTCGAGAGTTATTTCACTTGCTAACTTCTCACGCCAACTTTTTGAGAGTTACTTCACCTGCCAACTTTTCATGCAAATCTTCAAGAATTACTTCACCTGCCAGCTTTCTCACGCCAACTTTTCGGGTGTTCCCCTTCACTATACAAGTCGTCTCGACTCTTAATTATTCTTCTTTTTAATGGCAGGGGTCGGCAGGCCCGACCGGAGCTTACGAAACGCAGCCCTCTGCGGGGATCGTGCGTGGTGGAGCGCTCTGGCTGTGGCGCCGTGCGAATATGTCTTGAGCTCGGCGAACCCTCTGCGGAAGATTGTGCGTGACGGAACGCTCTCGCTGTGGCGCCCTGCAGATGTGTCTTGCATGATCTCGGCGAACCCTATGCGGAGATCGTGCGTGCCGGAGCGCTGCGCGAATGTGTCTCGAGCGCCGCGAATCCTCTGCGGAGATCGTGGGTGTCGAAGCGCTCTCGCCTCGCTGCGGCGCCGCGCGAATGTGTCTTGAGTGCGGCAGACCCTCTGGCAGATCGTGCGTCTCGGAACGCTCTCGCTGTGGCGCCGTACAAATGTGTCTTGATCTCGGCGAATCCTGTCGAAGCGCTCTCGCTGCGGCGCCGTGCAAATTTGTCTAGGCCTCAGCGAACCCACCGCGGAGATCGTGCGCGTCGAAGCTCTCCCGCTGTGGCGCCGTGTGTATTTGTCTGATGTTGACAAACCCTCTGCGGAGATCGTGCGCGTCGAAGCGCTCTCGCTGCGGCGCCGTAGCTCGAGATACTCCTAAACCTTGCCAACAACCAACAACCAAATAAAACGACCATAAAACCCAACAAACTACAAACTACAAACAACCAACCACCAACCACCAAACGCGAACCACCAACACCCAACCACCAGCCACCAACCCACCAACCCATGGGCCGCAAACCACACGTACACAAACCAGAGCCACAACAACAACAACGACGACGACTACAACAACAACCACAACCACAACCACAAGCACACCCGCATCCAATCGGAACCACAACCCCAACCCTAACCACCACCACTACTTCCACCACCACCACCACCAAAAAGACAACAAGAACAACAGAAACAACAACGACAACGACAACGACAATGTGACAACCACAACAACAATGACGACGACAGCAACAGCAAAAACAACAGCAACAGCAACAGCAGCAGCAGCAGCAGCAACAGCAACAGCAACATTATCATCAT